TACTAATTAATAGGCATTATAGGCCAGAGGAAATTTTGCGCCCTTTCACACCTGCGCCCGGGGGCGACTGCCACCCCTTGCCCCCTCTTGCTACGCCACTGAGTTTTAGGTTACTAAATAAACTTTTTTGGGGGGAAGCCTGATGGGAATTTTGCCCCATCATGTTACTTCTGGGGACCGTAGGAGTCACCATGCCAAATTTGGTGGTGATTGGTCAAATAATGTGCGAGCCGACAGACAAACATAGAATTTCGCTTTTATATATATATATAGAGAGAGAGATTGTTGAAAATTGTACTGGAAAGATGAATTTGTTTTTACAGTTTAAGAAGCTGAAGAATGTTTTGTATGTGCAAAAACGTTGCTAAGTAATTAAAGAATAACTACATAGCTTGTCGGATTTGTTTACATTAGTTTGATTTAGAGTAAGGTATTAGAATATATTTAACTATTAGATTTAAGTAGTTTTTCAGACATCATTAACATTGGGAAGGTTCAGATTTTTGGAATTTTTTTTACTTATAATGACTATAACGAAAATCGATAAAACTTCAATTTTTGTTGTTGTTAAAGCTCAGGAAAAGAAATTACATGCATAAATTTTAATTTCAATTAATGATACTGTACATGCGCAGTAGTTCTCGTAATTTATCGAAATGCAGATCGTAATCTTATCGTCACGTGATAACACTTTGGTTCAATGGTTCAGCTCTATTTCCAGTGGTTAAAACATTTGTTTTTCTATATATGTAGATAAAGGAGGTGAACGCTCACTTGGAATTTTCTCTTACTTGAAAGTAGGGTAAAAGGTGATCGTGCACTTATAAAGCACATGTTTAAATAGACACGCGAAAGCTTGCATTGGTGTATCAGACATGTTTGATTATACGATATTGCAAAACTTACAAAAACACTTTAGTGACCTCTTCAAGGGACGAAAGAAAAACTGAAAAGAGCGATAGAAAAATTAGTTCGAATTCGATGAGTTACAAACTGATATAATAATTTATTACGCTAGATCTGGGTTTGGTATGCAATTTTTTTAAATTTTGAATTTTTAGTATCAAAAATTATTCTTATTTGAGGAATGAAAAAGTAGTTTTGAGGATAAAAACAATACTCACAAATTGTGACAAAGGCTACGAAATGATGATACTGTACAAGTGGAAAAATATTTTAAAAAAATGGGTGTAGGAATGGGAGTACCAAAAAGTAAGGAAACAAGGTAGGAATGGGCATGATGTAATAAAACTTCTTCTGCAGGCCCGGCATAGACAGGTGGTTAGAGTACTCGACTCGCAATCTGTGGGGCGCGAGTTCGAATCCCCGTCACACAAAACATGCTCGCCCTTTCAGCCGTGGGGGCGTTATAGTGTGATGGTTAATCCCACTATTCGTTGGTAAAAGCCCAATAGTTGGCGGTGGGTGGTGATGACTGGCTGCCTGCCCGCTTTGTCCGAAATCCATAACAAACAAACAAACAAACTTATTCTGTACAACCTTACAAGATGACGTGTCCAACATCCCATCCATGTCTACTTCGTTTATTCTTTCTAACCTGTATAAAATAAGCCAGGTGGACTAAACTTATCAAACTTGGTTATACTTATCATACAATGACTAGAGGTTTCTGAGAATCGAACTATTGGAAGCAATACGTGTACTGTAAAGTCTGTTTATATGATACCAGAAGAATCAGTTGTTTGTGTGGACCCATAACTTGTATGTTCTTTTTACTTTAGAACTTGTCCCTCCTTTTGCAATTGCATGAGAACGCAAAAGGGTTTCATACATTAGCTATGTAGGTGGATTAAAATACAAAGATAAAAAATTCTAAGAAGTTTCTGTGTATCGACATCATGGATTTTATACAAAAGTAGAATAATCATAGTCGCACTTTTGTATGTGCTCTTAAGTTGTATAATATCATAAGCACAGAAATATGAAGTAAGCATGGACCGGATGTTGGACACGCCCCCTTGGGAGGTTGTAAAGAGGAAGTTGTATTACACCATGCCCCTTCCTACCCTGTTTCCTCACTTTTTTGGAGCACCCATTCGTCACTTTAATTTTTTTTCCACTTGTTCGTCACTTTAATTTTTATAAATATTTTTTTTCCACTTATTCATGCACTTTTTTTTTCATACAAGGTGACATGGTCTTATGCATCATTCATTCGTTTGTGTTGATATCCTGTATATATATCGTCAGTGTGGATGTGCACCATAATATTACACTACGTATTAAATGCTTCATGAATGCAAACTTGATTTAATTTACAATACGTATTACAAATTCCTTGCAAAAGAGCGTAGCTTGTCTTCTAGCCTAGATAGTGAAACTTCTCTCAAGGCTCACCCTACGTTGGCGTACCCTATACTACTCACCTTTTCTATAGTGCTGTAGATCTAAAAGACCACACCTCTCAGAAAACAAAGTGAGCGAGTGGACCTATGTATTTTAAAATGTCGTCCCTGTTCAAGGTATTAGTTCTTTCTTTTGGCGATGTTTAGTATATAAGATCGCTAGCACTAGTACGTGATCCCTGTAATATTGTTCTATTTGGTGCACTTGGTGCATAACTATGGTAAGTCTGTTTGTTACACAACTAGAAACGTTCAACAATGTCAGTCAGTGAGATTGAGAAATTTGTGGTTTTGTGAATATTGTTTATCTGCTCTATTGATTTTCTCTGGTGATTCTATGACTTATAATTTTGTATGTGGTTTGTTTATCACCTCACAAATACCTTGGAAGATTTATTATTTGGTTGTTAAAGGTGAATATGAGTAAATAGTTTTTATTTCATGTATTGTGTATCTGCCCCATTCCTACTATAAGTAATACCGTACCTATGATATTAAAAGAAAATCAGTGGCCAAGAATGCTGCAGAACAATAATATTGTGTATTAAACGCAACAACACCCAAGAAAGCTGCGAAACAGTGATATCAGGTATTAAAAGTAACACCAGTGACCAGAAGGGTGCGAAACAATAATATTATATACTGAAAGCAACACTATAGTTGGAGGTATCATAGTGGACTTGGGGAGCTCGACTCCCAGTCAGCTGATTGAAACCCAGCATTGGGCATGCGTGCATTTTCAGCCGTGAGGCGTTATAATGTTATGGTCAATTACACTTCTTATGATGTGTGTGTATATATATATATATATATATCAGTTACGATAAGTTGGAACATTTCCTAAAAACATACCTTAAAATCAAGGACGGCTATACCCGGATCTTGGAGGTCTCCAACCGGGCCATGTAGCCCATGTGCGCATAAGGTACCATT